GTTTAGCCTTAGTTTAGTCCCCGGTCTAGTCCTAGTTTAGTGCTGTTTTAATCTGGGTTTAGTTTTAGGTTTAGCCCTGATTTAGTCCCTGGTTTAATCCTAGTTTATTACTTGGTTTAGTCCTGATTTAGTACCTGGTTTAGTCCTGGTTAAGTCCCTGGTTTAGTCCTTGGTTTAGCCTTGATTTAGTCCCTCGTTTAGTACTAGTTTAGTCATGGTTTAGTCCTGGTTTTGTCTGGGTTTAGTCCTAGTTTAGTACCTTGTTTAGTCCTGGTTTTGTCCGGTTTTAGTTTGGGTTTAGTCCTGGCTTCATCCTTGGTTTAGTCCTTGGTTTAGTCCTGTTTTTGTCTGGGTTTAGTCCTAGTTTAGTCCTTGGTTTATTACCTGGTTTAGTCTGGGTTTAGTCCTTGGTTTAGTCCTAGTTTAGTACCTAGTTTAGTCCTGGTTTTGTCTGGGTTTAGTCCTTGGTTTATTACCTGGTCTAGTCCTGGTTTAGTCCCTGATTTAGAACCTGGTTTAGTCTTTTGTGTAGTCCTTGTTTAGTCCTGTCCTAGTTTGGGTTTAGTCCTAGTTTCGTCCCAGGTTTCGCCATAGGTTTAGTCCCTCGTTTAGCCCTGACTCTTTACTCTATTCTCTATTCTGTATTCTAAACCTCTAGTAATTTTTTCCTGTGTCTGCCCTGGTTTAGTCACATGGTTTTGATCTATGACTCAGGCTTGAATCTCGTGCCGTCTCTCGACTCTTCGTGCATTCTGTGGTTTTATTCTCTAAACGCCGCCGCGTTCGAACAGGAAACCATATGTAACGCGACTTAAATATGCATAAAAACAACCACAGCGGCTCAAAGGGGAACTACCGTCTCATGCTGGGGGTGTTTTACGTTTCTTTGTTTGCGGCGGAACGTTCAGCGGTTACCATGGCGACGCGATTCCGACATGAGCAAACACGGACAAAAAGTTTCAAGATGGTCTGAAACTGTTATCGAACTGCAAGATTTTTCACTTAAAAGTATTAAAAAAGAGGGAACTGCACAGGCCATGATCCTCAAATTATTGTTTTGAAGCACTTTTAAAGCTTTTTTTTTTTATATGGAAGTAATAATTCACACTGAAGACTGGTCAAGGTATTTAAAAAGGAAAAAAATTGTGTATGTATCTCTAAAAATATCACAATAATCATCATACCGTGACATTTGGACATCGTTTCATCCCTTTATAATAATTGTATAAAAGTTGTTATGCTTCTTTTTAATAATTTTATATCTTGAATTACAAATTGAGTTAACAGTTTTAATACGTGTTTTATTCGTTCATTTGTTTTTCAAAATAAAACAAGACAAATTTAGTTTTTTCAGTTTTCAATTTTGTGTTTAAATGAAAAATGGAATAAAAACGGATAACAACCATTTCCCTTTTATGTGAGTTAAACTGAGATGCCGGACTGAACCAGGTCCGGGACCAGACCGGGACTCAGGCCAGGACCTAGACTGACACCAGACCAAGACTGAGTCCAGGACCAGACCGGGACCAGGACCAGGACTGAGGCCGGGACTGAGACCGTGACTGAGACCGGGAACAGAACCAGGATTAAGACTGGGCCTGAGACCAGGACCGGGCCCAGGACTGAGTCCGGGACCAGACCGGGAGCAGGACAAGGATTAAGACCGAGACTGGGACAGAGACTGGGACTGAGACCGTAACCAGACCAGGACTAGACCGAGATTGAGACAGAGACCAGGACCAGACCAGGACTGAGACCGGGACTGAGACCAGGACTGAGATTGGGACTGAGACTGGGACTGAAAACGGTTTAGTCCTGGTTCAGTCCTGATTCAGTCCTGGTTCAGTCCATATGCGGTGCAATAGTCCCACATCGCAGTTTAATTCGTAAATGTTTTTTTCCATTTTTCATTTAAACACAAAATCGAAAACTGAAAAACAAATCAATATCCATTTTTTTTTTGGTTTTGGAGACAAATAATGAAGAAAATAGTTGTTTTTTCATTTTCTTATTTCTGGTTTTATTTTGAAAAAAGAATGAACGAATGACACACAGATTAGTTACATAAGTTTATGTCTTGAGTTTTGCCTGAAGTAAAATGTTACGAAATGCGTCTTTAAATCCATGTGGACCAATAAATAGCATCGTTTTAGCCTGGTGGTTTATTTTCCCATTGGAAAACATTGCAAATTCCCACAACGCAGATTTATTACACGATTATATGTTCAGTTTAAGAGACAAAAATACTCACATGGCTTATTTATTTACGCTGTACATTGTTTAAATAAATAGCACTGACAATAATCGGAGCAAACATTTCAATAGAACTTGGCGGCCTATTTAGTTAAGTTAATGGGGCAATTATAACCATTTAATCCTTTAATTGTTACGAAATGAACCGAGTACACAGGATGCAGTTATTACAGGTCGATTATTACGCAAAGTTGACTCTTGTGAGCTTTAAATCGTGTTATAATGTTGTTACTAAGGGTGTAAAAATAACCAAAATATCATATCGTATCGTCAAAAGTCTCTCAGTAATATCGTGGGCCATCGCAATATATCGAATCACGGGTTTTTTCACTTAAATTCATTGTTATGGTGCAGCAATAGCTAAAAAAACAGAGGGAACTACATCGCCCATGATCCTTTGCTCCATTTCATTGCAAATTACAAGAAGAAATATCAGTTTTAAACACTTTTAAGTCTTAGTTCTTTGAGTTAAGTCTCGTCAAGGCATTTTAAGAGGAAAAAGTAGCACAATTATTCAGTTTTGTTTAGCCTCCACAAAATATCGCAATAAATATCGTACCGGGAGATGCGTATCGTGAAAATATCGTAAATATCGTGATTTGGATATCGTTACATCCCTCGTCAATTACGCTGTTTTCTGATGTTATAATGTTGTTTTCTCAGCACAAACAGACCTGGAGTTGTGTTTTATTTCTTTACTATTAGTTTGTTTACATCTCCAAAGCTCAAAATGCTCTGTTCCACCTCGTGATGTCATGACGTGGTAGTTTTAACAGCTCCTTTTACCTTTAGTTTGGCAATTCCAGAGCTGAAATTGAAATTCAAATCACTGTAGTGAAGGTGTGTGGGGTGTTTTTTCAGTTTGAGAGAAGAACTCAGCCTAAATCTGCAGAGTTTGTGTGTTTAAACGTGCGTGAATGAAACAAAACACAGCTACACGTCAGTTTTTTATGAGGAAACTACATTACAACATCAGAAAATTGCGTAAAATAGACAATTTAAAGTAAATTTTTGGCATTTTTGTAACCTATTTAATAGGGATGTAACGATACCCAAATCTCTCGGTGCGATATTATCACGATATGCATCTCGCGGTACGATATTTATTGCGATATTGCGATTTTGGTGTGAATTATTTCCGTCATAACCCCGAGAATTCACGTAAAAAACATATTTCTTCATGTTGTCTGCGCTGAAATGAATCATGGGATATGTAGTTTCCGATGTTTATAAGCTGTTACTACTGTAAAACAATGAATTTAAGCAAAGGAACTTGTAATTCGATACATCGTGTGAGATTTTTGACGATAAGATATCACGATATTTTGGTTATTGTTACATCCCTACAATTTGAGCATCAGAATCAATAGTTTGCGTAGTTACTTCAATGTTATAGCCTATAATCAGTGTTGGGAGTAACAGATTACATGTACTGGAGTTACGTAATCAGAGTACAAATTATGAGTAACTGTATTTAGTTACAGTTACTGTTTCCATGAGTGGTAATTGGATTACAGTTACTTTGTTGGAATAAATGGATTACATGACGGTATTTTCACATTTTGGGCTATATCCCTTTTTTTTTTTTTTTCCAGTAATTCCACTCATTGCCAAACACTAAACCGGGTCCAAACCAGGTCCAAACCAAGTCTAAACCACGTCTAAACCAGGTCTAAACCAGGTCCAAACCAGGTCCAAACCAAGTCTAAACCAGGTCTAAATCCAGGTCTAAATCCAGGTCTAAACCAAGTCTAAATCCAGGTCTAAACCCAGGTCTAAACCCAGGTCCAAACCAAGTCTAAATCCAGGTCTAAATCCAGGTCTAAACCCAGGTCTAAACCAGGTCTAAACCAGGTCCAAACCAAGTCCAAACCAAGTCCAAACCAAGTCTAAACCAGGTCTAAACCCAGGTCTAAACCCAGGTCTAAACCAGGTCCAAATCAAGTCTAAACCAAGTCCAAACCAAGTCTAAACCAGGTCTAAACCAGGTCTAAATCCAGGTCTAAACCCAAGTCTAAACCAGGTCCAAACCAGATCTCAACCAGGACTAAACCAGGTTTTAACAGGACTAACCCATGCCGCTGTCTTTTATCAGACAAAACATCTTATGTTACGATTTCCTCATCTTTGCTTCTCTACAGCAAATCAAGTAATCTAAAGTATTCAGATTACTTTACTCACTTTATGTAATTTAATGGATTATGTTATAAACTACATTTTGGGGTATGTAATCTGTAATCTGTAGGGGAGTACATTTTAAAAATAACCTTCACAACACTGCCTATAATTTGCCTTCTACTGAACTCTACGCCGAATTTATAACATTATTAGACTTTTTTTGTTTGTTTGTTTTTTACGTATTTTTGCTGACAAGACATGTTTTCATTGTAATTACATCTTTCTCCTCGCAGGTGATCGCACGACTCACGGACACGCCTCGTTGAGCTTTGAATAAACTTTCTTTCACATTACTTTTTAGCGTATTTTTCGCGCTAAATGCATTGGACATTTTACCTCTACGACTTATAAATAGTACACATTGTGCAGACAGATGATTCACGAAGCCTAAAAAAAACTGTTGTGCAGATGGAAAAATCTTACTTAAAGTTACGTAAAACTTGTGTAATAGTTAAATTATGATGTTATGGCGCGTTTAACTCAACAAAACTACGTAAGGTTTAGTTAAAGATTGATATTTTAAGAAGAACATGTTACTAAACGCAACTTTTTCCATGTTAGTTACTCACCCAATTCCTGCGCGAGCGTCCCGGTCAGGAGCAAAAACAACCCCGCTATCCTAAAAAACAGCTTCATGTCGCTTTTCCCTAAGTTTCAAAGTTTTAAAATCAAAGTTAAAATCCAGAAAATAAAGTGCAGATTTGCCCGTGTCTCCCTTCTGCAGCCTGGTTCGCGTGAGACAAACGCGAGTGTCGTATTTCAGCGCAATGGTCGACGCCCTCCCCCTTAGAAATAACACGGAGCAGGCGTGGACTTCAAAACTTTAAAGTATTATTCTTAAGAAATCAAATAGGCCATAATTAACCAAGCCGAATTAAACATAACTATTCCAAAGTAGTTCCTGTTTAATTATAACCTTGAATTTGGTTTGCGTTTGTTCAGAAATTGTAAATATGTGTTAACTCCTACTCATTAGTGAATTGGGTCTGTTTTTTTAATGTACCTGCGCGAACACGAGCCAGAGTATCTGATTAAAAGTAATAGTATAGCGCCATCTTGTGTCTAAAATGTGTAATATAAATTGTGTTCATATGTATTTATCATTTGGACTAATTCGACATTGGACGTAAAAATCGTATGTGTTATACTGAACGATCTGGTGACATTTTCTTATAATAACTTAAATTTATTACTATTATGAAGTCAAATAGTCAATAATTAACCAAACCGAATTAAATATAACAATTCCAAAGTAGCTTATTTATCTGTAATAACAAGTTTGAATTTGGTTTGCGTTTGTTCAGAAATTGTAAATATGTGTTAACTCGTACTCATTAGTGAACTGGGTCTGGTTTTTTAATGTACATGCGTAAATACGAGCCAGACTAGCTGATTGAAAGTAATAGTATAGCGCCATCTTGTGTCTAAAATGTGTAATATGTTCTGTATACTCTGAGATAAATTGTGTTCGTGTGTATTTATTATTTGGACATTGGACTAATTTGATAAAAGTTAATGTTTCTGCCATTTACATTTAAATCGTATGTCTTATATTGAAAGATCTGATGAGATTTTCTTATAATTTATAACTTTAAACAGCTCTTCTGGCTCCCGCTCACACAGGTATTTTAAAAAACAGACTCGATTCACTAATGAGTAAGAGTTAACACATATTTACAATTTCTGAACAAACGCAAACCAAATTAAAACTTGTAATTTGACATTAGCCACAATTAAACTGTCCTATTAAATTCAGCTTGGTTAATTACCAACTATTTCACTTCATAATAATAATAATTTTAACTTTAAAAGTAATAATATAGCACCATCCTGTGTCTAAAATGTGTCCTAAGTTCTGTATACTCCAGGTAAATTTTATTCATTACCCTAATTGTGTTTTTATCATTTTATCATTGGACTAATTTGACAAAAGTTAATGTTTCTACCATTTACATTTAAATTGTGTGTGTTACATTGAAAGAGCTGATGAAATTTCCTTATAAATTATAAATTTAAACATAAAATTATTATTATTATGAAGTCAAATAGGCGATAATTGACCAAGACGAATTAAATATAACAGTATAATGATAGTAAATATGTAAAAATATGTGTTAACTCTTAATCATGAACTGGGTCTGTTTTTGTCATACGAGTGAGTGTAGCTGTTTAAAAGTAATAGTATAGCTTCATATTGTGTCTAAAATGTGTAATATGTTCTGAATACTCCAGGTAAATTGTGCTCATTACCCTAATTGTGTATTTATCATTTTATCTTTGGACTAATTTGACTAAAAATGTTTCTACCATTTCACTTTAATTGTATGTGTAATATGGAAAGATTTGATGGAATTCCCTTATAATTTATAACATATTATTATTATTATGAAGTCAAATAGTGGATAATTAACCAGACCGAATATAATATGACAGTTTAATAGTAGTTATTGTGTAATTACAAGGTTGAATTTGGCTTGCGTTTGTTCGGAAATTGTAAATATGTGTTAACTTTTACTCATTAGTGAATTAGGTTTGTTTTTGTAGTATACCTGCGTGAAAACGAGTGATACTTCGCTGTTTAAAAGTAAAAGTACAGCGCCATCTTGTGTCTTAAATATGTGTATTTATCATTTTATCATTGGACTTATTTGACTAAAGTTAATGTTTGCACCATTTACATTTAAATTATGTGTTGCATTGAAAGATTTGATGAGATTCCCATATAATTCATAACATTAAACTTAAAATTACTATTATTATGAAGTCAAATAGTGGATAATTAACCAAGACGAATTTAATATGACAGTTTAATCGTAGTTATTGTGTAATTAAAAGTTTGAATTTTGCTTGCGTTTGTTCAGAAATTGTAAATATGTGTTAACTCTTACTCATTAGTGAATTAGGTCTGTTTTTTTAAAATACCTGCGTGAATATGAGTGATATTTTGCTGTTTAAAAGTAAAAGTACAGCGCCATCTTGTGTCTAAAATGTGTAATATGTTCTGAATAGTCAAATTGTGCTTATTAATCATTGGCTTGATGACAAAAGATCATGTTTTGACTCATCTTTTTTATTGGCATTTCTTTGCGTGCATTCTTTGCCAGACAACAGTTTAGACTAGTTATAAACGAGACACGTGAACTTTATTGAAATGTAACTCGTTCATTAAAGATTCAGTTTGTCTTCTTTTTTTTTTTCACACAAAAAAAAAATTCAGTTTCACACAATCTCTCAATTCTTGTCTCAACATTTTTGTTTCTGAAAGTATTAGTGTTCAAATATAAAACCATGATCAGATCTGTTCATGACGACAGGATCTCTAAGACCTCAACTTCTCATTTTATCTGCAAAAGAAATCAGAAATATCAGTCAGTGTTTAGTTATTTTCTTAAAGTTTAAAGTTCGTTTCGAGTACTTGCTTTTTTATTTATGGCTTGCAGCAGTCTCATCTGCAGGTTTTCGATCTCAAACATGGCCTCCAGTTTCTTCGTGATTTCAGCCAATCTCTCTGAGAGAAAAAAAAACACACAAAAAAAACAGCATTTATTTGTGATTTGAGTTCATAATTCAGTCATCGGTGAGTTTTGATCCTAAAGGTTTTGTAGAAAAATCACCTGCTACATTTGTCTGCTGACCGCCTCCGTTTCCTGTTGAAAAAAAAAAGAGATTAACTAGTGCAATAATTAAGATTTAAATAATAAATGCAGATGATTTCGTTAAACATAAAGGAGACGGAGCAGAGGAGAAGAACAGAGGAGCAGAGGAACAGAGGAGAAGAACAGAGGAGGAGATGAGAGGGTCAGAGGAACAGAGGAGAAGGTCAGAGGAACAGAAGAGAGGAGAAGAGGAGCAGAGGAGAAGAACAGAGGAGAAGAACAGAGGAGCAGAGGAACAGAGTAGAAGGTCAGAGAAGCAGAGGAGAAGAACAGAAAGGAGCAGAGGAACAGAGGAGCAGATCAGAGGGTCAGAGGAAAAGAACAGTGGAGCAGAAGAACAGAGGAGAGGGTCAGGAGAAGAAGAGAGGATCAGAGGAACAGAGAAGCAGAGGAGAGGAACAGAGGAGCAGAGGAACAGAGGAGAGGAATAGAGGAGCAGAGAGAGGAACAGAGGAGCAGAGGAACAGAGGAGAGGGTCAGGAGAAGAGGAAAGGGTCAGAGGAGCAAATCAGAGAGGAGAGGGTCAGAGGAGCATTGAGAGGGTCAGAGGAGCAGAGGGGAGGAGAAGAGTAGAAGAGAAGAGGAGCAGAGGAGGAGAGGAGAGTAGAGGAGGAGCAGAGCAGAGGGTCAGAGGAAAAGAACAGAGGAGCAGAGGAACAGAGGAAGAGGGGAGGAATAGAGGAGAGGGTCAGAGGAGAGGAACAGAGGAACAGAGAGGGAGAGGGACAGAGGAGCATTAAGAGGGTCAGAGGAGCAGAGGGGAGGAGAAGAGTAGAAGAGAAGAGGAGCAGAGGAGAGGGTCAGAGCAGAGAGGAGAGGAGAGTAGAGGAGGAGCAGAGCAGAGGGTCAGAGGAAAAGAACAGAGGAGCAGAGGAACAGAGAAGAAGAGGGGAGGAATAGAGGAGCAGAGGAGAGGGTCAGAGGAGAGGAACAGAGGAGCAGAGGAACAGAGAGGGAGAGGGACAGAGGAGCATTAAGAGGGTCAGAAGAGCAGAAGAGAGGAGAAGAGGAGAGGGTCAGAGCAGAGGAGGAGAGGAACAGAGAAGCAGATCAGAGGGTCAGAGGAACAAAGGAGTGGAAGAGAGGGTCAGAGGAGAGGAGGAACAGGAGCAGGGGAACAGAGGAACAGAGGAAAGGGTCAGAGGAGCATTGAGAGGGTCAGAAGAGCAGAGGAGAGGAGGAACAGGAGCAGGGGAACAGAGAAACAGAGGAAAGGGTCAGAGAAGAGGAAAGGGTCAGAGGAGGAGAGGGTCAGAGGAGAGGAGGAACAGGAGCAGGGGAACAGAGGAACAGAGGAGAGGGTCAGAGGAGCATTGAGAGGGTCAGAAGAGCAGAGGAGAGGAGAGGAGAGAGAGGGTCAGAGGAGCAGATCAGAGGGTCAGACCGTTGTTTGGAGGGTTCAGAGCGTCCTCCAGGTTGAATCCATCAGAGTTGCCTGTGAAAATCCATTATAAAGTTTAACATCTTTTAATTACAGGATTAACTTTCCTCATTAACACTTGTAGGGGTGGATTTACCTGAAGGTCTCTGGGGTTTTGGAGCTGCAAACAGAAAACAAAAGAAGAACATTTAGAAGGACAATTAAAATCAGACAACTGGAGTAATCAGATAAACCAGTAATTAGATCTGACTTTGGCGCGTGTTACACAGAAATACACAAACACACAAACACACACGAGAATAAATATGAAGAAAATGTTCTGAAATAAATATGTCCAGTTTGTCTGTAATCTTCATATTTGTGTCATATTTTATTTCATTTGGTCAGTGATGTTGACTCACCCACAGTTGTAGTAGTAGTTTGTCTCCCACCTGCACGGACCAAAAAAAAATTGTTTAGACCTGGTTTAGTTCTTATTTAGTTCTGGTTTGTATCTTAGTCATGTAGACCTTTTTGTAATTGTTTAAGTCCTTGTTTAGTTTTGGTTTGATTTTGTTTTGTTATTATGTGGACCTGGTTTAGTCCAGGATTAGTTTTGTTTAGTCCTGGTTTAGTTTAGTTCAGCCCTGGTTTAGTTTTATTCTGGTTTAGTTTTGTTTAGTCCTGGTTTACTTAAGTCCTGGTTTAGTCCCGGTTTAGTTTAGTTTAGTTGAGTTTAGTTCTGGTTTAGTCTTGGA